GCCCCCCCCCCCCTCCCCCCCAAGCCCCCCCAGGGCCTCCAGAGCCTGCTTGTCATCTTGATCACCCCAGCCCCCTTCCCCCTCCACTAACTCCCCTGCCATCCCAATTTACCTTAGATTGGGTGGCTATTATTAACTCAGTCTAACCTCCCCAAATGTCTGTATGCAGCCTGGATGTCACCCAGGGACAGAGCCCCTCATCCCCCCTGTAAATATGTTGCTTATCAGTAGGGCCCTACTGAATTCACAGCAGCAGTGGGATGTACTGGAGTTCCTTTAATCTTGCAGGTTCCAGCAGGTGCTGTTCCACCACAGATTCATAGGTTGTAAGGCTAGAAGGGACCTCAGAAAATTGAGTCCATCCTCCTACACCAAGCAGGAAAGACAACTAGGGTCAGGTGACCCCAGCTAGGTGACCATCCAGGGTCCTCTTGAAGATTTCTAGGGTAGGCGATTGCACCACCTCTGGAGGGAGCTTATTCCACAGTCTGGGCACCCTAACTGTGAAGAAGGTTTTCCTAAAGTTGAGTCTAAAATGGTCTTCTAGGAGTTTGTGGCCATTACTCCTGGTTTTCTCCAAGGGTGCTCTGGTGAACAGTTGTTCACCGAGCCCTTAATGTACTCCCCTAATGTAGTGATAAGCTGCTACCAAAAAAACTCCCCTCTCAGCCTTCTCTGAAAAGGCTGAAGAGTCCCAGATTGGTGGAGGAGCCCCACTTGTGGCTCAGTTCTGATAGGCAGGGAAGCAAAAGGCACCAATCAGTGGTGGGGAACACGCAGGGGAACCTGCAAGATTATAATGAGCCACAACAGAGCCCACTTCCACCATGAATTCAGTAGGGCCCTACTCATCACAGACTATCACCAAACATCACAGGGACTCTTAGAATCGCCAGGCCTGACTTGTCAGAGTAACCGCTGATTCTACCAATTGAGTAAGCCTCTTCCCTCTAGCGGAAATCCAGTCAAGTACATTCTCAGTGCTTAGGCCAGGGTTCAGCTCTAGTAATTTACTCCACTGAAAACAGCAAGTACTCCCTCCAATCTCTACATTAAATTCTATAAATTGATTTTTTTTTTTAAGTCTTAAAATTTTCCCTCTTAAGGCAGAGGGGACAACATTAACATGTTTTAGTTTCCTCTGTATCCAAAGCAAAATGAAATTTTTCCTTGAGCAAATTTTTCTGTGAGAAGATTCCAGGAACATTTCTTAAAATGATTGCAATATAAACTGTAAGACAAATATTTAGAGGTACTAAGCACTAGCAACTCTCTTTAAAAAGGTTTGCAGGATTTTGTTTGCAAGTAGTCAATTACTGCTGAATATATATTTCTTTAACATTAAGATTTAGTCTCTGAAATATAGTGTGCATTTATATTAACAAAATAATGACAGTACCTATTATAACATGCATATCAAGTCTTGCCATTTGCTTCGCTGTATGATAACCAATTCCTCCAGAACCTCCAGTCACTATAGCAACTTTTCCACATTGTAAAGGGAAAACTATGTGAAGAGAAAGAAATAATTATGGTTAATCCACAGTAGCAATATGGTTAAGGATTTAAGATACATTTTTATAGAAATCCATTTAATGGACCACTCAGCTTTGGCCAACGAACAAGATGAAAGCAGTCTGGCACACAATAAAAAATAAGACTGTTACCATTATTAACTATGCTAGGATTTTCCAATATTAATATTTCACAAAAGATTGAAATTGATGACATGTAAACGATAAATCTCCAACTATAAAATTTATGACAGCATTTTGTTACCCAACAATAATCTGTCCTTAAAAAATTCACCTCAGCAATGTCTATTGTCTAAAAAACAGCATGGCAGCTGTTACAATTCAATTTATGGGCTGTTTATTTCATCAAACCTGCATACCAGGAAAAGCTTTAAAGATAAGAATTTTTCAATTAGCAGCATGATATCCTGCAGACTCTTTGGATGACAGGAGGAAACACTCTGGTTTTGCTTCACTAATCACAGAGGGAAAATAAATAGCAAATACAAATATCCTGAGTCAAGTCAAGTTCCCAAAACCTCTTCTCCATTTTCCATTGAGTACAGAAGAAATATATAACCTCCCAGAAAAAAAAAGAAGTTATTTTCATTGCACATTTTCTTCATATGAGAAACATTATGCAACTGTTTGCTCACATGAGTAATCAAAGGGACTCCTATATGTGGGTGAAGATTGCACAAGTTAGCCTTGTATGAAATGTCTCGCTCTATCTATAAAGGAGAGAATTCAGCCAAATAAGAAGGAGAGTTAAAGTCACTACTTGTTCAGATAAAATGTTTTGGACAGATATAAATTACAGAAAGTTTAAAATAAAATCAGAGAGTGATTTAGGGCGTGGGCCGGAAACTTTTCATGCCATGGGTTGGAACAACATGGCTCAACTCTGATGCAGGCCAAGTGGTTTTGGATATGCATCATCAGTGGGAGGTTTGCCTGCACCTGTGTCAGGGTCAGAAAGGTGAGAGCATGGGTGCTCCCTAGCTGAGGTGCAAGCACAGCTTCTAGTCATAAGTGAGCTGCACTGGGCCCAGGAGCTGGGAGCTCCACCCCTCCTTTTTTAGCTACAGCATGGACACAGATGAAAGCTGCCCAATCCTAGCTCAGTTTCCCAATAGCTGGAAGCTGCACTTGTTCTGCAGTCACAGGGGAAGGGTGAAGAGAAGTAGCTGTGATGCAGGCACAACTTCCAGCTACCCAGCCTTAGCATGTGTGCAGGCAGAGACAAAGCCCTCCAGTTCTGCAGGCGATATGTAGGGGCTACACAAGCAGCTTCTGGTTCCTGGCCATATGTTGCCAACTCCTGACCTAGAGTGTGGGGAAGTTTCCATGCAATTCTAGTGTGGTTTTCATAATGTCAGTGCTAGATACTGTACAGGGTAAACCGTTGAATATTTCAACCTATAGAAATACAATGTCTCTAGGCAATGGGGTAGATACCACCAACTAACTAAACCTCCAGAAAGGTGCAGGTCTTGATTTGTCCAATTTTTATGTTGCAAAAAAATAAATCCCCTAAAGTCTAGTAATAATCCCATATAATAATCATCCCATGTAATAAATCATAGAGGTGTAAGGCTGGAAGGGACCTGAAGAGATCGTCTAGTCCAACTGGGGATCAAATTTAAGAGCATGGCGTTAATAGCACCACACTCTAACCAATAAAACTTGTGGTGCTACTAAAGGATTATTAAGTATCAATTTTATCACATTCTATTGGCACTGCAGCTTGTATGATGTTTCAGGCTAGATCAAAAAGCTAAACTAAACATTGTCTTGTTCAATATGTAGGTCTAGAAATTGTGGATGACAGTAGAAAGTCCTTCAGAGCAGCAACTAGAAGACATCATTGTAATGTCACACAGCTCTGACTGGGACTACCCTGAATCAATGAAAGATGTCTAAGAACAGCAATACAGAAAAAGGCACAGGAGAACAAATTAAAGTAACAAGAATGGATCCAGAACAAATGGGAGTTTGTGAAACAGGAAGAAAACAAGTACATGAATAGAAAGGTTCTTCGCAAAGCAGCCTCCAGTATAGATTAAAGGGGCTGTGTTCTCTAATGTATTGCTCCAGTTTCACACCAGTGAATAAGTGACCTTGGGATTTTCTTTGGTGATGGAGTAGGAGACAGCACTTCAGTTTTTAAAATGTAGCACACATCAGATGCACCTAAAGCACAAAGTGCATGGTCCTTTTAAATACATAATAGTGTAGTTCATTCATTAGAAAACTATGTTGAAGACTATTTGCAATAGAGAAATCGATCCCTACACTTTCCTATGATGAGAAATAATGGTAATCTGAAAAAAAGCAAAACAATAGTGGGTGTGGGGCTAATGTCTCTGTTTTTTTCTGTTTTATAAAGTGCCCATTCAGTATATTTAAGCATATTCTATTTTTCATTCATTCTCTGCTATTCTTTCCTACTGCAACTGCAGTGAAATTGGAAAGGAAATTCCTTAGGTGAGACTGTTTTCATTTTAACCCTAGTATAGTATTTTCTTCCTATTCTTCCTAAATCTTGACTTCCTTTGTTTCGCCTGGCGATTCC